TTTTGATTGTTGCTGTGAACGATGAGCACATTCGTGGCTTAGAGACACACGGATGTATTTTCTTACAGGTCCCCAGTCTGAAATGGGTTTCACTGCGCCAAATTCAAGGTGTCCGCAGGGCTGCATTCTTTTTGGAGGCTCTACGGGAGAATCCACTTCCTTGCTTTCTCCAGCTTCTAGAAACTCTGCTTCCCGTGGCTCATGGCCTTCCTTCATCTTCGAAGACAGCAGGGCCGGCAAGCCACGTCCTTCTCCTACTGCCATCTCCACTCTCTCCTGCCTCTCCTCCATGCTGAAGGACACTTGCTATTACATTGGGACCCCTCAGAAAATGCAGGATAAGCTTTCTATGTTAAAATCAGCTGATTAGCCGCCTTCATCGCATCTGCTACCTTCGCTCCCCTCTGCCAAGTAATGTGACCTATTCCCCGGCTGCAGGCATTAGGACGTGAACACATCCAGGGGGAGGCACCATTCTACCTACCACAGGTACTACCATTTGTGGGTTGTCCATGGTGAGCCCAGCCCCGGGTGGGTGCTTTACAAACATCCACTCACTCACTTATTTCTTCAACCAATACTGGCGGAGGACTTCCATCCGAATACGAGGCCCAGCGCTGGATGCTAAAGCTAAACAGCCAATGAGACACAGTCCCTGCCCTCAGGAAGTTCATAGTGCAGGGCGGAGAGGGACCCGCACGCAGACACTGCTGTACGGGGTTAAGGGGGGGTGGTCAAGCCCTTTACTTCACGTCTCTATACCTGTTTCTTCCTCTGTAAAATCAGAAAAATAGTCAATGGCCATACCACCCTGAACATGCTGGATGTTGTCTGATCTCAGAAAAATAAAGTGGCAACTGTCTCTCCAAATGTTAGGAGAATGAAATGAGATAGCATATGAATGGTAGACCATTAATACTGGTATATTATTATTAAGCACGGTATGATGGGCACACAGAGGAGAGGAGTCAGGGAATCAGGGAGTCAGGTGAGACCCAAATTGACACCCCAGGAATAAGCAAGATTAGCCAGGGGAAGTGTAGGAAGTGAAAGGAAGAGTCCCCAGACAGAGAGAATGCATGTGCAAAGGCCCTGTGGTGAACAGGACCCTCAGTCCTCATGAGACCCTGATACCACACCGGGTCTCTTCCTGCTATGTAGGTATAGGAGTTGTGCTCCCTCCCCAGAGGTCCAGAAGCCATAGGGATCCCCTGGATTCTTAGCATCCAGCTTCAAGGTGGCTGGATATGTCACTGTACCTACTTTCCTCATCACAAGGATCCTCACTGGCCCCATACTTTGTGGCCTGCAGCCACAAAATCCATCATTCTAAGAGCCACTAACCAGTGGGCCCCGACAAGATGCCAGGCCCTGGGCTGGGGCCTCTTCAGTTATCAACTTCACTCCTCACAGCTTTATCATTAGACCCATGTGAGAGAGGAGGAAACTTGCCTACGGTCATGTAGGTAGTAGATGGGGGAACCCAGGGCTGTCTGACTCCCCATCAGGAGGGCCACACAGGCCAGCAGCCTAGGCTTTGATGGCTCAGCCCCAGGCACGGAAGCTGGACAGAGGAAGACGGGATGAGGTGGAGCCTTTGAAGAACAGCTAATCTACTTTACATTCGACTAAGGGGGGCCAGAGCCTGGGGTGAAGGCCAGGGCAGAGGCCGGGGCATTTGTTTAAAAGAACACACTCCTCTCTTTCCCAGGAGAAGCTGCAAGAGCAGCAAGCCCCAAGAGCAAAAAGGATGCACTGGCTTGGACGCTTAAGGGAGAGTCCCAGACTGTGCCCTCCCACCCTCGGCAGAGCCTGGCCTTTCCCAAGAGCAGGGACGTCTGATCTCGAGCTAGTGCCGGAGCCAGAGGGAGCCTCTCAGCTCATCTGTTCCTTACCTGGGGACAAAGCTGGATGGACTGAAAGGAAAAAACGCACGTGGAAGCTTCCTGCTACATGGCAATGGCTCCTGGCCCATTACCTCATCCTCAAAGCTAGCAAAATTGGGCCAACTGTTTTCTCTGGGGGAGCACTAACCCGTATCACATCATGACATCTAGCCTACCTTCTTGGAGTTAAACTTCCTTTCTTTTACAAAATCATGTTGATACTAGAGGGCAGTTCGTGTATACCTACGGTGGAATAAATGATCGGCATCTGCGCAGTAAGGGTTTAACTCAGCAGGCCTGGGTTGCTCGGATGCTGCACGTTCCAAAGAAAGGACTGGCCGGCCCTTGACCACTTCTTGGGAGACAGATAACCTCTGAGCCTCTGGAATATCCCGCCTAATAGCAGCTTCTGTGTGTCTGGGGCCCTGGGCCGCACTGTATTGGTTTGCCCAGCCGGGTGACAGTAACAATATGACTTATGGAGAATTCTTGTTTGGGAACGCTGAAGGCCCCAGGCCATGCTGTATCAGTGGCCCTCTTGGGGCCCGGAGACTGAGCGGCTAAGGTCAGTCACACTGGTGCTGCGTTCTTATGTGACCAACATCCAATAAAAACTCTGGACACCAAGGCTCGGGTGAGCTTGCCTGGCTGGTACTCTGCACGCGTTCTTGCACTTAGCGCTGGAAGTAATCCTGTCCCATGTGACCCCACTGCCTGGGGGTGGAGGCGCACCCGGCAGCTCATGCCTGGGGGCTCCTGGGGGTTCTTGGACGCTTTTCTCTCCACTGATGTGGCTCTATATCCTTTCATTAAAATAAGTGGTAACTGCGAGGGGTGATGGCTTTTCTGAATTCTGTGAGTTCTCCTTGCAAATCACTGAGCCCAAGGGTTCCTGAGATTGGGGCCAAATAGCTTACCCCCAGGCCTGCCTCAGTTGTTTTTTTTTTTAACTTGCTATTTGAAATGATTATAGATTTATAGGAAGTTGCAAAAAAGTACAGGAAGTTGCAAAAGAAAAGGTCCTGTGTACTTTTCACTCAGCATTCCCCAGTGGGAACATCTTACAAGTATAAGATCAAAACCTCAGGCTTTAAAATGATATAGGCACAATCAGGAAGGCGAGGGCTGGTAACCAGTTCACTCCTTCCACTGAATTCCCCCAAGAACCTGCAGAGCTGTGAAGACAATCAGGGCTTTTAAGCATGCATTGGCCCCCTTCTGAGGGTAGATGGGCTGGCATTGGCAGAAGTCAGAGACCAAGTAGCCAGGCAAAACGAGGGGGCAGAGTGGCCTTAGGAGGTCATCCCAAGAGATGTGGGCAAAGCTGTCTTTGGCAGGACTGCTTGCAACATTGTTTCCGATAATGAAAACTTGGAAACATCCTGAATGCCCGGCGATGGCGATTGGCTAAGAAGATAATGAAGCACCCACCCTGTAAAATACAGTGCAGCTATTGTGATTACATTGTAGAAGAATAACTTTTATCAGGGTAAATGTTCATGATACACTGGCAAGGAAAAAAAAGAGCAGCAAAAATAATATGCAGTATGATTCTTTGGCGGAAAACACACACACACAAACTGCTGGAGGATATAACCCCCAAGGTATTAACATGTTAACACTGGTTATCTTTAGACAATGGAATTATGAGAGATTTTTATTTTTCCCTCCACATCTTACAAGTTTTCTGTATTGAATATATATGACTATTAGAAGTTTTAAAAAATATTGCCAGATCCACCCCTTGTCTTGACTCTGCACAAACTCAGGCTCTGTGTGTCTGGTAAAACTCCCGGCGGTGGGGGGTTGGGGTGGCGGGAAGGGGAGGGCAGGGGAGGAGGTGATAGGGTGTCTGGAGTTACCCAGAGAGCAAGGGCTGGCCCTGCAGGAGAGAGTCTTTGCATGCATGGGAGAAAGGGGGCAGCAACACCGCCAGTGAGCGTTCCAGGGTGGCCCAGGAGCAGGGAGCAGGTAATCCGGTGCCTGGTGAAATTCCAGAGCCAGGTTGGGGCCAGACGCTCACTCTCGCCCACTTCCTTGTTCCAGCTTTTTTACCTTCTGCTCACATACACCCCGCATTCTCCACCTCCATTCAGGAGCTCCTGGCAGGGGCAGGGCTGCCTTGGGTTTAACTCTGAGCCTCCCTGAGCTTTGCAAAAGGCCTGGCTGACCCAATGGATGAGGGATGGATGGTACCTCCCCCATCATCCCTTTTCCCATCTCCATCTGCTGACTTTCCACCTCTCTGCAGTCTCAGATGCCTCTTCCTCCCAGAAGCCCTTGCTGACCCCTGCAGGCCCCCACTGTACTGCATGCTAACCTCAATCGAAAATTTTAGCAGAGTCTGCCTAGTACCTAGATTATGGGACTCTAAACTCGTTTCCTCTGTCAGTGCATAAACCTTAGCAAGGTCAATGCCCTGGTCAGCTCAGGTTCTCCAATGCACTCCACAGCACAGGATTTGGCACTCAACCAGTCCTATAAAATAAGAGAAAAGATCCACTCTTTTCCCCCTGAGGGCCTTTGACTCACAAGCGGTGAGTGGGGAGTGGGGGGCGGTTCCTGCCTCCCCCTCCCCACTAAGAGAACGAGCTTCCATTGCCCCAGGCTCCTCTGCACCTCCGACTCCACTGGCTAGTTCTTTTTACTTTTTACTTGCTCCAGTCATGGTCACGAGGGGACTGGAGAGGAATGGTGACTCAGCCCAATTCATCACCACAATGGAAAAACCCAGTCACCTGTCCTCCTGGCAACAGGACCGGAGCCGCCTCTGCATCTGGAAGGGCAGCAAGCCATACCGCCTTCAAGGTCCTTTTGTCTTTCACCTGCTGAAAAATCAAAGACTTGAAATATGGAGGCGCACCACCAGTGGACACTAGATTTGCGGCGCGCTACGAATCTCGGCGACCGGGGCTGGTGTGTGCCCTGCACGCCAGCCTCACGGCGGCCTCACAAGTCCACTGTGGTCGGAAGTGGGCACTGTCACGCTTTCAGCCACCAGCATCGGAGTCGCCCTTCCTACAAGGCAGAGCCCACCTCCTCCTAGAGGGTCGGAGAGCGTCTTTTCCCAGCCTCCCTTGCTGCTTTGGCGGATGACCTGCTCTGGGCACCTCTGGTCAGACACGCCCATGCTTGACCGTGATTTAGAAACGAGTGGCACGAGGAAGCCAAGGCCACGCGGAATCCATTCTGGTGAGGACACAGCCGCAGCGGCAGCACAACCCGAGACTTCAGAGGCAGCCAGGGTCCCACTGGACGGAGCGTCCAGTGTCCTGCAGCAGCCGTGGCCGTGGACGGCCGTGGTGGCTCTGGCTCCTGAGATGGCCAGAGCTGCCTGTCCCCCTTTTAACAAAGCCTTTTTCTGCTTCAGCTAGCCAGCATCAGGCTCTGTTTGCTGCAACTGCCCAGACTGCTGCATTCGCTGGAATTTCCAGATGGGGATTCGAAGGCTCAGAGGGATCTTCAGAAAGGCTGTGTCTTGCCTCCCAGCGGAGGTGCGGGCCGGTCTCCTGCCCATTTTACAGATGGCAAAGGGCAAGTCCAGCAAAGGCAGTGACTTAGGCAGCACCTTTCAGGTAATTAGGAGCAAGGCCGGGGGATGCGTCTTAAGAGGCCCCCAGTCGCAGCCACCAGCTTGGCCCTCTGCCGGGCTCTGCTCTCCTCTGTTCAAAGCCCTGCCATCCGGCCCGTCCTCAAACAGCATTGCTCCCTGCGCGGGGTGTTAAAGATGAAGAGAGCCCGAGAGCAGAAGGGACTGAGAGCTGGCCCTTCTGCTGTCTCAGCAGGGACTCCTCCTTTCCTGGCATGACTGACCACCGTCTCCTCCAGAAGGGGCCAGGGCCCCCTCCACCTGCTGGTTCCCCAAGCTAAGCACCTGTGCTTGGTGTAACAGCCCCCCTCCCCAGGGGTGGGGAGTGAGGGTTCTTACAATTACATTTCTTCACCATCTATTAAGTGGCCACTTTTAAGGGTTCAAACCTGCAACCTGATCCACCTGAATGCTCATTTGGGGTTTGTGAAATACCTGAACCTCGTGGATTGTGCGTATCAGTTCAAGGCCATGGTAGATGCCATTCTGCACACAGACAGACATGTCATAGTGTCAAAGCTTTTGTTAGGCAGCCCTAAGACCCTCCTGGGGCCTGTGTCCCCCCCCCCAAGGAATTCAGAACAGGCTGTTTCATGAATTATGTTACTAGAATATCCACAATTAGTTTTGTTTGATGACTAGGTCTGAATTTATTGAAAAGGGCAGAACTCAGGGAAGCCTGAATCTCTAAGACAATCATAACAATTTAATCATCAATAATAGCAACTATTCAGTGAACATTTAAACCACGTGTCAGACCCCACACTAAACATTTTCTTTACGGTCCATCATTTAATTCTTACAAGAACCCTCCGAAGATTCATCACCCCAATTTCAGAATATGGCATGAAGGCTCAGAGAGGATGAGTAACTTGCTGGACATTACACAGCCAAGAAATTAAAGACCCAGCCTGTGCTCTTAAGGACTGGCTCCAGACTTATATAGAACTACAGTCTCCTGGATGTTTTGGACACACAGGTTCACTCTGTCACCACCGACCTCCCCCATCCCCTTTACAAAAGTGGAAAGTGAGAGGCAGGGATTTCCCCCAAGGTGAGCCCCAAGGCTGTAAGAACCCAAGCTTGCTGCCTTTTATGTGGTTTATATACTGTACCCCAAGCAGGAGCATGCACCCCTTCTTAGGCAGCCAAATCTTACCAGCCTCTTCAAGACGGGTGAGTCAGTTAATTCAATGCCATGGCAGATCCCAACACAGCCTGGAGCTGAGGGAAAGCCAGGACCTTACCACAAGCCAGCCCAGACAAAGGGGAGGAGATGCTGCAGGATCTTCTTGACCTCCCACCCAATGTCATCCTGGACCTCCCGGATGACTGGTCCAACTCCTTCCTCTGCACTGAAGAGGCTGAATTCCGGGAGAGGCAGATCCCTGACCAAGGTCGCTGGCAGGGCCTCCGCAGAACTGCGGTCTCCACAAGCACTGTTCTGAGCTGTCTTTGCCCAAGTAAATTCTTTCAAGTCATCAGATTTCCATTCTCCCTACAGTTGGACTCCATCTAGGGACTTTAGCGCAGCCTCATTTGGGGTGACAGGTGAGAGCAACGTCACTGGGCCAGACCAGAGTGAGCCTGAGGAAGACAAGGCTGGGCCAGTTCCCCTCCTTGAGGAGAGCAGGGACCCTGACACTCTGAGCGGGACCCTTGGGGGCCCAGAACACCTTTACCTGGAGACCATCACTCCCCACGAGTTCCCCCAAGGAAACCCTGGGCTTCTGAATACTGGACAAGGCTCCAGGGCCCCTGAGCACCAGGTTCTTTCCGACCCCCCCGGGGCTTTTCCCCGCTGGGCTCCCAGGCGGCGGCGGCGGGTGCGGCCGAGCGGCAGGGGCCGACGGAGGAGGCTGCCGTCCCCACCGGCCGGCCGGGGTTCCCCTCGGGAACCTAAACAAAGACGGACGCAGAGGTCTCCCCCACCCCGGGAACCCGACGCCGCGCGACCGCAGGGGACAGCAGGGGCGGGCGGAGAGCCTTCCACCGCACCCCGCCGAGACCGAGCGGCGGGGCCCCTTCCCCCGCACGCCCGCGGAAGGAGAGAAGCGTGCGGCTCCGCCCGGGGTCTCCGCTCGGCTCGCCCGCGGGGCGCTCCCGCCGCGGCAGGAGGCGGAAGCCGAGGGCCCGGGAC